CCTATCCACAAAGTAAAATAACAAGTTGTTCTTGGGACCGGGATTGCCTAGTAGACTGGCATTGGTGTGTCAGAACATTCTGCTCCCAACAGGAATGCTACTGGGGAAACTGCAGAGAGCAGAGGTGGAGGGAAGAACGAGGAGAGCATCTTTCGTCAGGAGTGTGGATGGCTCATCGGCAGACCTCCCGAGACTTCACTATGCCCTGCTCTTTTTCTCTGCATGGGGCTGGAGGCAGCACTGCAAACTGATCTATTCATTTCATTCTTTGACGGTTTTTTTTTCTTTTTGTCACATTACCGAAATGTCTGTTATTTTAACATTACTTCAAGACTTTCATAATTAAAAAGATTGCATTTTGGTTGAACTTAATTTCACTTTAAGGGAGATGACAAGTAATCTGTGAGATGACTAATCGCATACAGTCATCTTAATTGTGCTTCGTATCCATCTGAAAGCCTCATTGTCTTCATCCTGACCCCAGCATACAGCATGGGACTGAACCCTACAAAATGATAGCATACAGTCGGAGTTGGTTGATATTCGCTCACTCAACAAACATGGATTGATGGCCTTGTATGTGCTAGGCATAATGCTAGGGCCTAGGGACCTGAGGAAGGAGCCCTGGTGGCATAGTGGGTTAGACATTGGACTACTGATCACAAGGTCCACAGTTTGAACCCATCAGTTGCTTTGTAGGAGAAAGAGTATCGTGGAGATTGACAGCCTGGGACCCACAGGGGCAGTTCTACTCTAGGCAGACAGTTGCTATCCGTCAGAATTGCCTCTGTGGTAGGAAGTTAAAGCTTTCGAAGGGACCCTATGATGGGCTGTGGTGAGTACAGGAAACAGGGTCAGGGGAGGGGCTCTGTGGTCAGGTAGGAGGACAGGCTGGATAAGTGGGATGTGTCTGTCCTGTAAAAGGTGGGAAATGGAGTGGCCTGGTGATGGACAGGAGACACAGAGACATGTGGCATGGTGATTGTCACAGCCTCCCGGAAAAGTCGCTGTCTGTTAGTCTTTAAGATTCTCAAATGCCAGGAATACTAGAAATAGGTATGTCCATTGGGAAAGAGACCCTTTCAAAGAGGGACGTAGGGTAATTAGGGTGACCTTTATCGGGTTTGGCGATTCACAATTAGGATGCTATAATTTGCCCCTGGAATGACAAGCAAAAGTGGTAGTCTAAAATAACTTTCCTTTCCACCCCCAGACACGCTCCAGTGACTGCGTGGTTGAGAGTTTTGAAAATAATGCATTACCCGTAGAGAGCGGTCATTAGCATGCAGTTAGTGAGAGCTCTCTGCCTCTTGGTGACGGGGAAGTGCGACCATCAACAGCCTGTTTATGTGTGTTCCTTGTTGGGCAGCTGACTTATTTGACTAGAAGTGAAGGAAGTTTCTGCACCCTGCCAGGTAGTCCCAGGTTTACTGAGCTATGTACCGGCATTATGTTTACTAATAGCTTAGATTTTGTAACAGAGAATGAGTAAACATGCCCCAGTTTAGTGTCAAAAGTGGAATCACTAGTGGCTACACCTTTGGTTGGCAATTCCAGAGGAACCCATGTCTCAGGTACTCAGATCTGCTTTCTCTCTGCTGTAGAGATCATCTTCTGCTAAGAAGGGAAACCAGGCTGCATCCATGTTCATGCCTGTGGCACCGGTGACTGGAGACTGGCTATCAGTCACCTCTTCCAAGCCTTCTCACCGGAGAGTTTTAAACCCTATCGGGGTGTAGCTCTCCAAATGATGCAAAGCTACTGACTGTGCCCCTTCTTCATGTGAAGTTGTATGTATCCGAGTTTATGAATGGGACAACCTACTATGAGGCACAATTACGGAAAATGAGAATACCAGACTAGGAAGCATTTTTTCTGTCCCAGCCCTTTGTTTTGTAGACGAGGAAATGACAGCTTCAATCGCTCACTGCGCTTCTAGTAGAACTTCGGCTTGCGTTTTGGTTGTTATTGGGATTAAACAAGTTAATATCTTTCTAGCCATAGAACAGTGTCTGGGACAGGTAGCAAGTGGTTAATAGATTATTATCCTTAAGAGATCGCCTCCCAGTTCCCTTCGAGCCAGGTCCAGCTCATGGTGATC